CCCAGCAGACAAACTCCCCTGGCATGTTATCTCTCTGTTTGGCCGATTTATACTCTTTCCAGTCGCCTCCCGATGCCTGGTAGTGGTGGCTATGTAGCATCCAGTACTTTTCTTCAGTGACTGAAACAGATTAGGGCCAGATCTCTTCCTGCGGCCAAAGCGGCCAAGTGCCCAACAGACCGGCTAACTAACCCATCGATCAATGACCTTACCAGGTAGCGAACATTTGTATAAGCATGTCATTGACCGGAGGCACGACGAGACAAGGCACGGAGACCTGGCATCTTTTGTTATTATTGACCTTAAGGCTATTGACCTTTAGGCTGTTCATTTTGAAATTTTCTTGCCGGTCACGAAGTACTACTCTTATGTTGTCACGCAAGCACAGATAAGAAGGTGTGGCATACTGTATATCATCATATCCTTGCGGTTTTCGTAGCATCCTCTTAACGCGAAGTTATGACAAAGAGAACATGTTCGTAAATAATTTCATCGGGTTGGTAAACGAATGAATAGCAAAGTTCTTTGATCACAACCATTTATTTTTACGAGCCGACGTTTCGATGACAGTCTGTCATCTTCATCAAGGCAATTCTGACTGGTTTGCTGTGCACTGACGCTAGATGTTACATGTACGTGGTGCATAGTGCACTAAAGGTGTTACATGTAAATGTAAAAGTGCAAGTTGTTAACCATATGTAACACCTTTAGTGCACTATGCACCAAGTAACATCTAGCGTCAGTGCACAGTAAACCAGTCACAATTTCCCTGCTGAAGATGACAGACGGTCATCGAAACGTCGGCTCGTGAAAATAAATGGTTGTGATCAAAGAACTTTGCTATTCAAAGAGAACATGTGTTCTGCATTTCTACTGTACTAGAGAATTGTGAACCTTTAAAACCACGAAAACCTCTTTTTCCTCCACTTAAATAAAGCCACCGCGAAAGTAAACGCTTTTACAGTATCGGTGGATTTGGCGGTGACATCGCCAGTTAGCACTTGTTCCTAGACACGCATTCTTAAACATCAAGCGTGTCTTGCTGTAACCAAGGAGATTAAAAATCACCTGTACTGTTCTTAAGTTCTTAAGCTCCTTGCTGTGACCAAAATAATACTAGTATGCACACATTTTTTACTAATAAGTATATTCATATTAAGAGCCTATCATCTATTAAAACAACTACTGTTAGATGAAGCAAGGATATTAGATAGGCAAAAAATGTTAAAGTTCCTTGGATAGGCAGAAAACTAAGGGCATGCTTGAGATAGTCATGCACGTCATGATGCTGCAAAATTCAGCTGTCTTGTCATTGAAAAGGGCTGTCTTAGACCCTTGTCATTGATCGTTCTGTCTACCGGACTAACTACGCTGGCTATATATATAGGAGAATATTTGCCAGGGCAGTTTGGCCGCCTTTGATTGTAGGTTTGACTGGCGCGCAGAGAGGGAAAGAAACAACTAGTACTTCCCCGCGGCCGGACTCCCTTGGCCAAGTTTACTCTCTCTTTTGCCGAATTCTACGATCCGTATTCCCGTAGAAAGGCCTGGTGGAGGCTAGTTCTGTCTGTCTATCACAGACAGCCTGCTTAAAAACTTCTCTTGCAATCTAACGACGACCTATAAGAAATGTGACCGCGTCCTTGTTCTTTGTTTAAAACTTGGCGCATCACCAATATTGGAACGTGATCCAACAGGCAAAAGCACACACCTGTATAGTTGACATTCAGGCGAGGAAAAACAAGTTTACGTGAGTGGTTTCTGGTTACCCATCACAATGCACATGATCTTTCACATATATTCACTGCAGCATGGCGCCAGAACGAGAGGATTTGGAAAGTAAATTAGACGACTATATATATATATTCACCTGTAAGTTGGATCAAAGAGCTTAGATCATTACTGCCATTGAAGTGAAGACATAACCAAGACCAATGCTGTTACGGTCTTACAAAGAAAACACATTATTATAGCGGAATGTGTATCGATTTCCAATAACAAAATTCCAATTACAAATCAAAGCGTCATTTATGTCCAAATTCATGGCTTGTTACATTCCAAAATTACCTCTAGAGTAGAATTATAAAAACAGGTCGTTGCAGACCTGTGTCTATATTTTTCTAGCCTCCTGTGCAGGCCCCGCAGCGGTGGAGAAGAGTTTTTAACGCCTTATTTTAATATAGCCGGCCATCCTACATAGCCGCCGAGAGAAGGTTCCTTTCCGCCCACAAATCGAATGGCATCCTGGGTATGTTCAACAACAACAACAACAATTTCCGGTGGATTTTAAGTATAAATGGAATATGAACTGAATGCAACACATCACTAGTACTGTTTGGATTTTCTTGGTCTCAGAATGACAAAGCAAAAGGCATAAAAACTATAAACTATTTCAGTGCTCTTGTGAATGACAACAGAGAGTAATTTGAATGAAAAGTTGAAATACCAGGGTATCCAAGGCCCCATTCCCAGGCCCTATTCCCTAGAATACTAGTAACATGTCCGGATCGAGCGTAATTGATTCGCTTTGATCCGACTTCAAACCGGATCGAAGCCGGATCAAAACGAATCAATTCGATTCGATCCGAAAAATTTTAACCTTGTGGGAATGGGGCGAAGCAGCCCGGAATACCTGTTTATCCATAATGTAAATCGGACATTCCAGGTGTTACGCAGGATGCGACTGTGGCCTTGGGCAAACATAACAGGCGATGACTCACCGGAAACAACAAAAGTTTAGGCCTAGGAAAAAGTAAAAAACATCACTGCTCGAGACAAGCTCAACTCACTGACAGCGATGACTTAACTGACACGATACGAGAATCACACTTAAAGTTGCAGATAGATTTTCGTTGGTAGTTCAATCTATTGTAGACTATCTTGTGGGCGCCTCTCGTGACTTTGCAGATAGATAAAGGTTAATAAATGCGACGCCATGACACTTGGCGAATTGGGACAAAACCGGGTCAACTGAAAAACAACGTACAACGAATTTTTATACACCTCAATCCTGGCTTCATAACTCTGGTACATGTACTTGCAGGCATAATTATTTCTTGTTCTTTTCTGAGCTGATATAAGATCCTTATTAGTTGGTACGTCCACCAGTTTATTAGTTAATTTGTACATTATGCACAGTCTGCGCATTTTTTTCGGTGGGAGATTATAAGATAGATCTATAATTGATAAGCCGACTCGCCTTAGGGCATGGGGACCGGTAGGTACGTTACCTGTCTGACAGTGACTTCTGGTGTTTAAATGCTGCAAATTTAGGCTTAAACTTCAACACAGCCAAGAACAACCCTGTTTTAGACGTTGGTAACAATGTAAAGGGCACAGAATTGTTGTTGTTTTTTTAAAGGTCACACTACGTTCTGAATGATGATAGTACGTTCTCTGTCTAACTGTGACTTCAGTTCTTCAAAAAGGCTTAAACTTGAACGCAGCCAATAACAACCCTGTGTAAGACGTTGGTAACAATGTTAAGGACATAAAATTGCTGTGTCAGCCCTTGTTGTTTGTTCAGAGGCCACACCGCGCAACAACACCTGAAGGACACTCCAAGGTTACGTGTAACATGACTCAGATTGGAACATGTACTCCTAACACACCCTTAACATACTCTTTCCACTAGACGCTGGGGCAGCAGAGCGGCAAAAAATGACAGGTCACTCAACCAATTTCACAGAACAAGAACGATTTTCTAAATTCTTTGTGTGTTTTTGTCCCGTAAATCATATCACAGCTTGCATCATATCCCAATTATGAGATTAAGGTCACCCGCATCTTATTTTGGTCGTTATCTAGTGGAAAAAAACGGTGAGTCTAAGCCAGAAACAACAATTCTTGAGACAAGCTGGACTCACGTAGGGTGCAGACTAACCGTCACAATAGAAGAATCACGCTTCATTATAATTAGTAGATAAGACAGCCATGACAGTTGGGACAAAAATTGGGACCAAAAAAATTGGGTGAACAGAAAAACAACAAATCAACTCACCTGCACACAACAGATGCAGAAGGAAGATCCTCAGCCCAAGAGACTCCATACTTTTAGTCCTATGGAAGACGTCGTAGATTCCAAGAACCAGAAGATCTTGTTTAAACTAGCATGTCGTCGGTTTGCTCATGTGACCTGAGCAGAAAACTTGTAAGATTTGTCCGGGGGTAAGGCTGACCAGGGTTAAACCATTGTGAACTCTTCGTAGGGGGTGCAGTTTGCCAATTCGTAGCTTCTCTATCGTGGCTTCTCTGTATGTCGCACTTTTCACACCTTCTTTGCGCACGTTTTGTCGTTTCAAAAACATTTTGACATCAAAGGTGTCATCTTCAGGTAAAATCAGTGCATCCCCGCTATACCAAACGGCCGCAGTGACCCATAATTTTCTTGCCCTTACAAAAGCACCCCCTGTGACCATAAGGTGCTTTGTCCGGCGACATGTGAAATCCAGTCAGGCATATCCCCTGCCTACCTGTCGGGTAAGCCTGTGTGACAAACAATGGTCAGGCCGGGTATTTACCAAATAGCTCCGATTTCACTGGGGGTATTTCTTGCTGAGGACATCATTAGCTAGCGGTGGTTGCTGCATGACATTTCTCCACCTCTGGTCACGGAATTTGTCAAATTTAAACCGGTCTTATTTTGTTTTTCATTGCGTAAATTGTTGGGATTGCTGTTCGCTGGCGTAAAGTGATGAAGGGAGTCTGATAAAAAGTCCAGAAGATGTCAGCCATGGGTTTGTTGTGCCTCTGTGGATATAGCTGAGCAGCACAAGTAAATATTACGCAGTCATCCTCAACTCAGGTGAAGCAGTGATGCTTTTTCCGTACTCTCCAAGTAGAGGTTTGGATTTTGGGTTATTCTTGGCGTGTTTTAGGCTTTTTCATCGTTTTTGTTTTTTGCACTAACATTTTTTTGCACGCTGGGTTGGGTAAAACAATCAGTGCAAAAAAGAAACTCCGTTAAAAAGCCTAAAAACACGTCAAAAATAACCCATGCAAACCTCTGCTTGGAGAGTAGCTTTTTCGTCCAGCTAACAGGTGGTGCTGCAGTGCGGCTTCGTACGGCCCCGCTCATGTGCGTCACACGATTGTCCTACGATCTTCGTAAGATCGCAAGCTTAGGGCATTCTTGGGATAGAATGTGTCTCATGAAAAATTTCGAGCTGTCTTGTTACGGAAAAAGATGTCTTAAATCCTTGTCGGCAGTTGGTTCTATCACAGTCTGCTGGAAAACACCGCGACACGAAAGAAAATCGTACGGCCATCGTGGCCGCTTGCTGATCTAATGCGTATAACGTTATATACAACAGGTTTTGATACAACGTGTTGTCTTTACTGTACGATGGCAGATACACGATACAAGCAAAACATGGGCAGTGCCGTTACAAACTCGCACAGTCAGTTAAATCATTCAGTATACTCGTGCGTACATGTACTTGTTAGTCACCATCTTGCAGTCTTTATCCTTGTAACCTATGTCGTGCTTTTGCATAAGCTTTGTGGCATAACTGCATGATTCTAACGTCTCGGTTCTCAGCTTTCGACGAATGTTGACAAAGACGTCTTTTTGTAAAACAGGTGTTGCTAATTCCCTTTAAACCCTACTTTACATTGCCACAATGAGAGTTAAGGGCCCGATCGTTGTCGTGATGATGATGTTCTTAAGTAACCATGTATGTGTCCTACAAAATCCAGATGAACGGCATGCTACGGACAAGACCGTCGTATGTCCTTGTCAACGGTTGGTCCTGGCAAAGCCTGATTGAGTACAACCGAGAGGAGGGGAGAAGCATGTGTACTGGGTGCTTCAAAACATGGCAGAACACAAAGGCGATCGCAAACAACACTGTAAGTGGTAACATAAGACATGGCGTTGAACTTGTCGGTACATGCCAAAAGCTATTGTACTATGTTTGGGCAAACAGCCGTCTCGGACGAAAGGATGTGATTGTCTCCTTGCGTACATTTCCACTCTTGAAACTTGCCTTTCTACCTAGGCCATGTTGATTTGATTATATGGATGACATCCTCTGGGAACCCCAAAACTGATGCGCGCGTGCGAATAAAAAAAAGTTTTGCAAAAAAAAAAGTTGCTTTCACTATGAAATCTACGTGGTCATGAAGGTTGAACACATGGCACAGAATATGTTATGGCGAATAATCTACTCTTCGAATTCATTTCTTTACATTTTTGTCTTTTGTCCTTTGATTTTGGCATTCTACGACATTGGTATCGTTCCTAAATGTTTTCCTTGCAACTTATGGTATATTTTTGCTCATTTAGCAACTGTTTTGTACGATTTACAGTATGGTTGAAAACTTGTTTTTTTGGAAACGGCCGAAAATTCATGCGCGCGCGGATGTCATCCATATAATCAAATCAACATGGCCCTATTAACTACATAAGTGGAACCTCCTTTATGTAACTTGTGGCGTGTATACTTACATGCATTGTGCATTTACTGTATGTCTACGAGCAAAGGTAGGCAGTCAAACTTGCCATTTTCCTTTACCAATATTGGCCTCCATAACATGATATAAGCATGCGTTCATGTACGAGTACAGACACGTGCTTTTCAGCTTGATAATGGAAAAAAATCATCCTAAAATAATAATATTGATGTATGCCTATTATCCAAATATGTTAAACTCACAAATTAGATGTATACCAAGCCTTAACGGTATATACCTTGAAAGGAGAGCTTATAATGTCATAGGCACTGTGTTATTACAATTGAACAATATGAACTCTGTATAGATCTAAAGTGAATGAAAGAATCTTCAATATTGATCAACCAGGCAATGTTTAATTAATCTGTTCATATTTAATTACGTATCTTCATTATCACACTGTACAATATTGAGCATTCCTGGGCTTAAGCTTAGAATGTACAGTCCAACAAACAGCCCAGTATTATATAGGAGAATAACAAATACTTCACCAATCTGTGTTCACATTTCTATGTACATATTCAGCAATTGTGAGTTAGGAAATCCTGTCTTAATATACATTTTACAAAGCATCACAATGATTGTTGCTCAAGTGTAAATATGTTCTATATGTCTGACAAGTTTTTCGTAAGTCTAGAACTCTATGTTCATCATCTATACTTTTCAAAAATGTTGAATATAGTTGACTCTCTACTGCTTTATGAAGAGTCTTTGGCAATGAAATAAGAGTAAAGTACTACCATGGAGGTAGAAAGAAGAGATGGTACTACCAACTCTTTTTCTATGAATCAGAGTTGCCACAACACAAATAATAACCCTGACCCTTTTTAGCATTAAAGTATGTTCAATAAAAGGCAATTATCAACTTCACTGGTCCATTCTGATTGTCCTCACTCTGTTGAATGTTAGTACATGTATTACAGAGAAAGAGTCCACGAGTACATGTAACTTCAGAAAGGGGTAATGTAATCATAGGCAGAATGTTATCTTGTTGCACATGTATGGATAACTATTCAAATTTTGTTTTTCGACCCTGAAAAATGATATGTACTTCATGTTGAAAGACAATGTCTGAATGTTAAGCTAATGTTAAGCTGATAATTCTTTGATCAATAAGGAGAGAGTTGTATACATAGCAGCCTTTTTGGGAGTATTGTTTTGGGTGGCTGAGATTATGGGTCTATCCAAATTGCTTTGAGTTTCACGGTGGGTGGGAGGTGATTTTGACAGGGAGTCAATTGATAGGGACATGCCTTAAGAAAGTGGTGTAATACCAAATTAAATTACATCATACAATCTCCTCTACAGTTCCCAAAATATTTCCCGAAATCTGTAAACTTGAAGATCACGAAACCCAGAAGTCTGAAAAGTCTGATTTTTTGTTTATTTTGATCAGCAGGATGAATACTATAATCACATATGCAAGACCTGATTAGAATTTGTACATACTTATCACTAATAATTCTCTCTTCTTTTATGACATACAATTAAATAAGGGATGCAACATAAGCTAGATCAAAAGACTGAAGCATACAATTATAGTTTCCTCTTTGAAAAGCACACAGACATTGCTAACAATGGTTGGATTCACAAGTGCGGTCACACATGTGACTAGGCTCTACATGTACAATGTAAGTGGAAGTGGCTAAAACAAAGGAATCACATAATAACAGATAAACACTTTGTCATGTACACGTTACGGACAACATTGTAGCCCGTACCAGGCTTCAGAAGATGGCTGGAAATAGTATATACGTAGAAATTTGACCAAATAGAAACAGATAACATGCATGGGGAGTTGGTCCACTAGAGACTACAGTTTGCCGCAAAGGCGGACCAACTCCCCTGGCATGTTATCTCTCTCTATTTGGCCAATTTCTACTCTTTCCAGCCGACTCCCGAAGCCTGGTAAAGGCTAGCAACGTTGTGCCATGCAGCCTGCTCAGTTGAAGTGGAACTTAAAGTTGAATCCCTGCCCTCCGAAGGGGTTAAAGTTGAATCCGTGGTTGCCCCAGGGGTTGTGCCCCCCCTGCTGTTCAGGGTCCAGGGGGTCTTCTCCATTGTCAAACTTCTCTCGCTTTTCTGTGGAGAAGATAAGAGACATTCAGTACGTTTATAAAACCTGTATCATGAAAGTAGCCTCTACCAGGCTTCGGGAGGCAGCTGGAAAGAGTAGAAATTGGCCAAATAGAGAGATAACATGCCAGGGGAGTTTGTCTGCTGGGAGAGAACATTTTGCCGCACCCGCACAACTCTTTCCATCCGCCTCTCAAAGCCTGGTAGAGGCTATCATGTTCAAGTTCATCTAGTTAAAAATTTTGTTCCAACACAAGAGATTGTTATCAGGAGACCCAGTATTGCTGTGCAAGCACGTCTAACCCTCAGAAGAATTCGGGGAACAACAGACAATAAACCAGATAGTGACTAGTAAGTGAGTGAGTGTTGACGTCACACTTTAGAGAAGACATGTGACAAGTCTCACTGGGTCAGTCTATTGAATAAAACAGTACTGGAGTGACTCAGGTTAAAAGCTCAAGGTAAGAACAATCCCTTGTGTTGGAACAATATTTTTTATTATTATAACTACTTAAAATTGAGTTTATAACCATGGAGTAACATTTTGTAAATTATTTCAGCAGGTTGATAAATAACTAGAAAACAACATTCTTTCTTCAGAAACAAGGTGTTTTACAAGTCAATGTTTCAGTGACCATCTCCCACCACGTACAATACCTAGCTGAAGTGTGGAAGTAGAACCAGTCAGTACCTTCATAAAAAACCATCACCATCTTTATAGAACTGTGCCATTTAACATAGTTACACAGTAGTAGTGAACCCATCACCAGAAATGTTGAAACATTAAAAGGTTGCTTCTGTTATCAAACTCCAAGCAGTTGTTGGGGTGGAAGGTCGTAACATTTTCTGACTTCTGCACTTCTCTATAGTAAGCCTAGATGCCAGTCTCTTTAGCCAGTACACTCTCTTAGTTGCTTCTATGTCAAAAAGACCTGCACATATCCATCTGTCATTTGAATATTTGTTCAGAATCTAAAGACACACCGATTGGTCAAACCTATGCAGTGGTATGGGGTCAGTGATGGTTGAACTAAACCATTAGTGATGTCATCACCAGAAAAATAAAATATGCACAGGTCCAGTCTTTTTGGCAGAGAGTGTACTAAACCAGGCTAAAAAGGCTGGTATCCGGTTAGGCTATTCTCTAGCAACCATTTACAGCCAGACAAAACTACAACCATCCACCCTACAACATCTACTTGGAGCTAAATATCTGTAAGAGTAGAGGCTGTGAGGTATTAGTGAATCCACCTCTAGTTAAAGTGGAACTTGAAGTTGAATCCGTTTCCTCCCCCCGGCCCAAACGGGTTGAAGTGGAAGCCCTGATGTCCCCAGGGATTGTGCCCGTGCCGCTGCTGCTCTGGGTCCAGAGGGTCTTCACCATTGTCAAACTTTTGCCGCTTTTCTACGGGTGGTGGGAGTGAGGGGGTGATTGGGTTAAGAAGATAGATTGAAGAAAGTGCAATTGGGAATTGATTGGAAGAAATACAAGCATGTAGTCAAGTCTGACTTTGGTCAGTATGTTAGGATCTGAATTGACTCCGAATATCCATGCTTACTTTTGGTAAGTACCTTAAATGTTAAGAAAAAACTACCAGGCTAGTCTGTGTATTTTTATCGCTTTTTACATTATCCTTGCTGCAAGGCTTGAGTCCAATTTTACAACCAAACCAATGAAGTCAGACTTAACCATATTATCATGAAAAGGAAGAGATAGATAAGAATGCAAATTAACTGTTTTAACATTGAAAGGAAAAAGATAAAGTAAAGAGGGAAACTATATTTCCTATCAATCTTTTCCAAGAAATGTGCAATATTGGCTTGTGCAAGACATCGTTAGTAAGTGGGTTAGAAAACAATGTGGATATACATGAATCATATTCAACATAATCTCTCCTTTTAATAACCATTAGCATGTTAAACACTAAATGTCTCTTTAGCAAAATGGAAATGTAGCATGCTGAAGGTTAATTGGAGAGTACTTTTACCGTAGCACTGAAATCCAGACAATCTCTCATCAGTAAAAAACTGTAAACTGTCATTTACATAATATATATAAATTCTTTTAGTGCCAAGTTTCTGTGTTGAATTCTAATATATTGTATTTGCCTGGGTTTCAGTGTAAGCAACCATTTATGATCATTATCACAATGTAATAAAAAGTAAAATAAACTTACCAGGATCTGCTAGTACTTCTCTTGCAGCTGCAATCTCTATAAACTTTTTCTCTGCTATCTTTTTCTCCTCTTCTGTTCTAAAGTTGTCAGGATGCCACTCTGCTGCCAACTTCCTGTAGGCCTTTTCTATTTCTCGTTTTCTCGCATTTCTGTGGGAAAAAAAGGGTTTTCTAATGTTACCAAGAACAGAAACTGTCATCATTAGTTAGTTCATATACAAATTCTTCCTGACAAAACCTACACATACAAAATGGTGGCAAGGCAGTCTTGTGGTTAGCGTTACTGACTCTGAATCTGAAGGTTCTGGGTTCGAATCCCTGGCAGGCCCCACTGTTGAGGCCTTGGAAAGGCACTTTACACCTACAAAGACTTTAGTACCTAGCTTTAATTAGGGTCTTCTGTTCATGGGATATTAAGTTGTTAAAGATCACACTCCACTTATCAAAGAAAATGTGAGTGGACCAAGCCTTACACTTTACAGTGAGTGAAGAGACTCTTTCTACACAACCAAGTCTTTTATATTCAGCCGACATTTTGGTGACCGTCTGTCACCTTCCTCAGGACAATTCTGACTGAGTCTCTTTACTCAGTATCTTACCAACCTGATGAAACTATTCACGGATCTTACACTTTACAGTCTGGTCTCAGAGACAAATGTGGTAATCTCTATAGATAGATAATTTGTATCACTAATGAACCTCACCTTTTGACCCCGAGTATTTTGTAATAATCCCTCTTCTGTGACTGTTTGAGGAGCCTCTTGGCCCTTTCCAAGCCTTCTGCGACATGTCTGAGGTTGTTGTCAATGTCGTGTGCTTTCTGGTAATCTTCAACAGCTGGGGGGAAAAACAACAACAAAGGCTGTGGGTACTATTCTCAAAACAGCTCCATCTAGTGTCAAGGAGTAGTCATTATAGCATGGTGAAGGGTAGCAGACTGAAGTACTTAGCCTCTACCAGGCACCGCAGATCGCTGGAAAAATAGTAGAAATTGGCCGAAATAAAGGGATAGTATGCCAGAGAAGATCCAAGACCCACGGGTCGCAAATTGGAGCTTCTATGGTCCTGGATCTTCTCTGGTATACTATCCCTTTATTTCTGCCAATTTCTACTATTTTTCCAGCGATCCGCGGTGCCTGGTAGAGGCTATGAAGTACTAACTTTGACATGTTTTGACACAAATGTAAAGTTTATCTTAAGACAAAAAGATGCAGTCATGGAAATCTCCTGGCCAAACATTCCATTATATAAGCATTAGACTAAGTTACATGTAAGAGCTACATGTACACATGAATAAACAGTTGGACATCCTGTTTGCCTATTGACATAACAACAGCATATCCTGCGATGAAAAGCAATGGTGATGAGTACAAAGTACCACAAAGTACCACAAAAATTACTTAGGTACCAGTACCAGTGTATCGGTACTGTAGTTGAAGAGACCATGGGTACAGTGCTGTACCTGTACCTGAACCTGATGTTACGATGCAACACTTAGTACATATATATACTAGTACATGACAATGAGTATTAGCGTAAGGCACATTACGAAGTGTACCTCTTTCAAACTCCTCTGCCATGATATATGTCTCTGCCCTGTCCACCAGGGCTTCGATGTTGTGTTCATCCATTTCCAACACTTCCCCACAGTTCTTAATGGCGTGTGGAACATCTTTCAACTGTAGAGGTATTGGGCAATGTACAGGAATTCACGAAAATAAACAGGCTAAATCATAGAATGATAGATTGGTATATAGTAGTGCAAATACATCATAATATGAAACAAGTTGAATATGGGACTAGGTAACAATTCTGCTGATCAAGCATGGCAACACAAAAAATCATGATGTTAGTGCCTTGTATAAGATATGTAATTGCATTTAGGCATTCAATTCAAATAAATCAGCAAGAACATATAATTTTATTATAGAACACAAATGCAGGCTTGAGTAATAGCTGTGATCATACATGTAGTAAACTACACTACATGCATGCCTTAAGTTTTACTTCATGCAAAGAGAAGAATGTTAGAAGTCTAGAAGAAAGCTAAAAAGACTGCAAGAATGTTGGAACTCAGCAAAACATGCAACACATGCCAAGCAAATCCATTTCAATCATCTGACTGAGTTATGATTGGTTATGGTTAAGACTGCAAAACACAGCTCTTGTTGTTTTAGTAATTGTTGATCAGGCAGATTTCAAAAGGTAGGATTATCAAGGACTGTTAGAACTCAGCAAAACATGCAACATGCCAATCAAAAATGATTCAACCATCTTACTAAACTATGATTGGTTAAGACAAATCTCTTGTTTTAGTTGATCATGCAGATTTGAAAGGTAGGATAATCAAGGAATGTTAGAACTCAGCAAACTATGCAACATGCCAATCAAAAATGATTCAAACATCAAACTATGATTGGTTAAGACAGCACACAATAATAGTTTTAGTAATTGTAGATCAGGCAGATTCACGAATGCTGTTCTGTAGTTACCACTGGCTTACCTCTCTGTAGCTTTTGCATATTTTGGACTTGGATCTTAGCACATACGCCCATATTTCAGGCTCCAACCTAAGAGCAGCCTCTAGTTTTACTATTGCATCTTGATACCTACAAAAGTGGGAGGGAAGAAAGCAAGCCGTGCGTGTTAATGACATGGACCTTACACAAGCTTTGTGCATTCTACATTGTCCTTTGACACTACAAATAGTGTTTCTCACAGTGTTCTCTGTGCAACAGAGCATTTTGTATTTCCCTTTCAATTACCAATTCACAGTGGTCTTATTTTGTGAGGGGTTTACAGGATCTTAAGAAAATGCACTGTTGCTTAAGAACTGTGAGAATCACAATCTACTTTGTGGCTTTCCTATTGAGTTTCTTTCTCACCTTAGAATAACATCTACAAATCTTAGACTTGGCTTTTAAAACCAAGGCCCATATCTGAGACTCAGACTCTAAAGCAGCCTCAAGTTTGACTATCGCTTCTTTGTATCTGCAAGATAAAGACTCTGGTTATGTAGACTTTCATAATACATCTTATGTATATCATACATGTACTTCTATAATAACCTAGCATTTTTATTGAACAAAAAAGCACATTATGACTTCAAAGTAAACAGCACCATGGGTAAGAAGTATCATAATTTTATCTTATCATGTACAATAAAGTACAGGTAATAAATTGCCACTATGCAGATCATATCTTGAAACAAGTGTTGTTAAATATTAAAGTTTTATTTAAAAGTTCCTTCCCTCACCAATGGTGAATAGGTCAACATCCATCTCCGTTTCTGTAGCCCTTGGGCCACACAGTTGTGCAATTACTGCAGTGAATAATGACAACACATGAGAGATTTTTTTTATTTTGTTTCCTTACCTCCCCTCGTTGATGAAGTTCTGAGCCGACTCGTACAGCTTGTTCAGTTTCTTGGCATGTTTGTAGTGAGGGAAGCAGCTCTTGTGGTCAGGGTCAAGTTTAAGGCACTCTCGCACTTCTCTGTAATAACAGTTAACAATCAATAATATTCGTGAATTTACATTTCTATAACAACTGGTCTCTAGTATTGGACCAGCTATTGTCAGACTGTGTGAACTGTCTGTTACCATCGTGTTGGAGGCTGTGATGACTGGTTTCCATATAGACTGATAGAGAATCCTGAGCTCCTATTCGTAGTTCTGGGAATGGGAATGGGAATGGTTCTCTTGGGTTCCTGGTAGAGGTGTATGGCCACAAGCTCTTGGGGGAAGGACCAAGCAGGGATTGTGTAAAACAGGCCCATATATGGACCTCCTCAATATTTTCAAGACTTTGCCAACAGGCTTCTAAATCTGTTTAATCTGTTCTAAATCCTCACACTAATGTGAACTCTAACATTACACAAACTTTAAGACAAACTGCACATTAAGAGCTATAATTTTCTTTTTCTTGATGGAAATTTGTGCACACTTACGTGAGTGAATCCTCCAGCTCCCCTACATCGTAGTACATTTTGCTGACTCTGAAGTAAGCCTCGGTGTTGTCTGGCCTCATCTTGGTGGTGGGCTTGATGTCGTTGATGGCCTTAAAGTGTTCCCCAATCTCCATATAACACTGGGCACGCTTTTCTCTCAAGGACGGATCCCATACACATTTCTGTGGGAAATAAGATGATCCACAAAATGAATCGTTATGGTTATGAAACAGCACCAGTGCTTTAGCATACTCAGAGCCGACCAACAAATCAGAGATTTCAGACTTCGGACAGATTTCAGCTTCTTGACTTCTCCATATCGACCTCTAACTCTTGCAAGCTCTGGGCCAGATTCTGAGACCTCTGACCACCTGCCTTCTGCCTGTCAATCTTCTACCCACCCACATGCTGTCAACCTACTGTCTGGGCAAACAGATACACAAACCCACAGGTCAGTCACTAAAAATCTTCTTTCCTACTATTCTACATATATATATATATTTGGCGCTCTTCCCTATATATGTCTTCATTTTCCATTGCCTCCACCACAACTAGACTTGTTTGCCCCACACTATACTACTCACCTCGATAGCGGCTGTCAACAGCTCGATGGCTTCGTTCCACCTCCCTTGTGTCATCATCTCGTCTGTCTGGGAGATGGTTTCTCTGATTGGTTCGATGAATTCCAGCTGTGTTTTCGCATCCTCGTTACTTGGGTTTACTCTCAACTACAGGAATTAACAGAATAATATACGATTTACCATCAGGTAAAAGTGTGAAATATACAACATTACCAAAAGTATGTTAGAAAACTTTGTCCTCAAATTTACTAAACTTGTTCCCAAAAAATGTGATGGTACCATTTCTGATATCTGATCTTACAAATATGACTTGTGATTCTGCCTGTCAATCTTCCAAGACCCATGTGCTGTCAACCTACTTTGTCTAGAGGAACAGACACAAATGCACAGTTCAGCCACCCTAAACAATACTTCCATACCCAGAAGTAATAAACAGTAAGGAGTTTTGTATCCTCACCACTTCCATGTAGTCTTCCTCTGCATCATTTAACTTGCCTTGCTTCAGGTATACATTAGCCCTTTGTACCCGTGCCTGTAAAAATGACCACAAACTTAGGTAAAGGTAAACAAGTGAAATATGAGTTCAAACAAGGATGTCCTTAGTTCAAACAAAATTCCAGACTTCTGAGAAGATATTGGCAGGTTTCTCATGCGATCTGAGTCTTACTGCATTCCTACCAGCACCATTTCCTGTGTCTGAATGACCAAGGACATTGGTCTGAACCTCTGTCATTCTATCAATCAATCTTCCATCCGTGTGCTATCAACCTATTTACTCAGACACCCAAACCGTCCACCCAAAGCAATACTCTGAAGTGACAACAAAACCTTTCTCTTTGCTTTCAAGGATTTCAAGGACAACTGCATAAGTGCTTGAATCTTTAGTCAAACCTTAATTAAGCAGATCACTGTTGTTCTGTATGGATACATATATGTATAATACATATGGAGTCTTAAGACTTACTAGTAGTGACTTAAAGAAGTAGGAATTTTCATTCTGACCTGAGTGAAGTCAGGCTTGAGGTGGATGACCTTAGACAGATCAGGCAGTGCCTGTCTAGACTTGCCCATGGCCAGGTACACCGTGGCTCTCCTGAAGTAGGTCAGGTAGTTATCAGGATCACCCTCTGGGAAAAAAATAAAACATACATTACAATGTACAATATATAAAACTTTAGAGTGCAAAATGAACAGTAGAGATCATAATAACATTCAACTTCCTATCATGTCTATGGTACAGGTGGTTCTGACCCATCTACTTACTAGTACTAGTTCAAACTTCGTGGATCCAGCAAAGGAGGGTTTTCCCTCCACATGAATCTCTTACATTGTAACTGCAGTCCCTGGATCATTGGTTGGGATGCAAAGTCAGCAGTTCCATAGCATCATTTGTCAACACACTTATCAAGGCTTTTCATTGAGTATTCTGAAGCAATACAACAGAATCTATCAAGTCTATTTCTTCAAAAAAGAAACAATGTTGTAATTAGACTTACCGATAGCTGCATGGAAGTGTGACAGTGCATCTGCTAACTGGCCAGCTGACAGCAGCTGCGTCCCCAGTTTTAGGTGCTGGTCAATCTCCTGAGGGTTCGCTCCTCCTTCTGACACTGGAAGTGAAAAAAAAAAGAGTTTTGATAATAAAGTATTTGTACAAGTTTACCTAAGGAAATAGAAATATGGCAAGGTACTAGTAGTCTTGTGATCTGGGTTGTTGACGTAGAATCTACAGGTTCTGAGTTGGAATACCTAGCATGACCTACTGTTGTGCCATTGGGAAAGCCGCTTTACTTTTTTACACCCATATCCTCACTCAGCTCAGGTGAGTACCTTGCTTTGAATAGAGGCGCCCTCTCAGATGGGATGTAAAGGAAGAGGTCTCTTGCTTAAGGGACCTCCTCACCTTAAGAGCCACACCTTAAGCATGTTAAAGATCTCACCACATTTATTGAAAAGAGCAGGGTCCTTCCCAGTGTGAATGGATCAAACCTTACAGTTACAGTCAATCTGGTCTTATGTGTACTTACTGCACAAAACTGGTGTGTTACACCTGATTATGTGAAACTGTCATAGACTCTCATTGATTGAACATGATGTTTAATCACCTGCAGTATTCTCACACTTACGTAACTATAAGTTAAGTATAACACTAACAGAAAATCTACATTTCTATGCAGGAAATGTTGGTAAGAAAAAGAGAGCTGTAACATTTCTGACAGAATTATGAAAATTACATCAGCAACCAATAGCAGAGTAATGCAAAAACATGATTTCCTGAGGAGATGTCATAAAGTCATTACATTTACATAAAGGTGTAAGAACACGTCAGCACAACAACATCAAACGTTGTCTACGTTGTTGAGCACATAATGTTTAAAATCTTCACAGTCAAGAAAAATGCGGGTAATTGTCTAGGCTCATTTTATGGGCTTGCTACTCTCTTTGAAGAAACGTAACGTGTATGTTCATTTGGAAGTGCAATCCTGAGTTTCACATCAACAAAAATTATTCGCATGTGTCTTTCCAAGGAGCTTTCATCACAAGGAGGGAGATCGACCTTAGCCGCCCGCTGTGCTCCATTGTTTCGCCCCGCTGCGGCCTATTGTTTACAGGCCCGGCGGCACATCGTCAGATCTGTATGTTTGTAGCGCGTCTTCCCGCGGTTTTCGGCCGATAATGAGCTTAGGCATGACGTCACACGCCCCGATCTGCGCCGAGCACGGGCCGAGAAGGGCCGATGTGTCGGATTTTTCCGGCGATTCCCATATTTGGAAAACTCGGCAGGGTTACCCCGAGGTCATATTCGGGTGCGGAACAAGATGGCGCTTGTTTACGTACTTTTCTCTATGCTGTACGATAAACACGGGCGATTTTAGAGCATTTTTTGTGGACCGGTCTCTGATTTCTAGCGATAGAAATATGAAAATATAGCTATATTTTTATGTGGCTGTAAGAAAAGTATGGATTTTTTCCTCGGTAAGTGGATATTTTTCCTAACAGTTGAACATGTGCTCGTTCAAATGAGGGTCTGCATGGGGGGGTCCTGGCAACGGTTAACGGAAAATTCAGCAGGGCCGATAACGCTTAACGGTAAATTCCAGGACGGTCGGCAACGCTTAACGG